GAGAAAAAGTCAGAACCTCCCTCAAAAAAAAAAAAAAAAAAAAAAAAAAGACTGCATGATTTCATTTATAGAAAATTCTAGAAAATTCAAACTAATCTAGTGACAGAAAGCAGATCAGTGGTTGCCTGGAGCAGGCAGAGCTAGGAGGGATACCAAAGGAAGAATTACAAAGGAGCATAACAAAATATAGGGGTGGCTCACTATCTTAATAATGTCAGAGGCATGCAAGAACTCATCAAATTATATATTTTAAATATGTGCAGTATATTGCATGTCAATTATTGTATATGTCAATAAAACTGTAAAAAAAAAAAAGTTTTAAAGAAGCCATTCCATGAATCCAAATAGAAGTAACGAAGGCCAAAATGAGGATGGTGACAATACTAGTATCAAGGAGAAAATGAAAATGAGACATTCCCCATTATTATGCTGGCTTGTTTTTACTGTTCATTACAAAGACCTCTCGTTCATAATGCAGTTTAGGGCGAAAGAAGATAGGAGGTATTTTTTTTTTTTTAATATATTTTATTGATTTTGTATAGAGAGGAAGGGAGAGAGATAGAGAGTTAGAAACATCGATGAGAGAGAGTCATCGATCAGTTGCCTCTTGCACACCCCCTACTGGGGATATGCCCGAAACCAAGGTACATGCCCTTGACTGGAATCGAACCCGGGTACCTTCAGTCCCCAAGCCGACGCTCTATCCATTGAGCTAAACCGGTCCCAGGTATTTTTAGTTGAAAAGGCTTTTATCGCCCAGATACTTCTGCAGAAGAGATGTCAGCGCCTTGAAGAGACCACGCTGTGGTGACCAGACGGAAAGGCTGCTGCAGAGGATGCTGTGCGTCTGCTCAGGTTCCTGCTCCGGAACGGAAGTGCCCCCTCCTCCATTCGCCAGGGGTGTTGGCTGTGGACGGCTCACAGCTGATTTCCTCTCCGGTCCTTGTGGTTGGCTGAGGGGAGCCACCTCACCCAAGATCCAGCCCCCTCCCTCAGGACACCCCAGCTCCTGAGCTCCCTGTGGGATCCCTGCATGCTTCTTAACGGGAGCTGTTCCCAAAGCACTGCCCAAGAAACCACCTGTTTCCCAGCCAGCGCGAACAGAGACAGCTCCCCCAAAGCGGCATGATAGAGAAAGCTGAAAAAAGGATTCAAGATGGACGGGAAAGATGTTCAAGTTGGTCAGAGAACAAGGAGAACCATTCCAGAAAGCACCATTTTCAATGGAAAACAAAAGTAAAGTTCATTGTGATATGGACAGACAATAACAGCAAAGCCCACAAAGCTAAGAGTGTGCACACTACAGAGTGACAACACTCAGACACCCTTGGAGGAATAATGAGGACAAGGACACTCTGAAGCTGTGGGGTCCATAGCTGAGCCAGCTGAGAAGCGGAACAGAAAAAGCAGCAGGGAGAAGCCAACTCTTGGAAACTTAGCTGGATACAGAAACGACAAAGGGGAACGGAGGAGAGGCATTTGTCCCTCAAGAATCATCCATGAATATTAATGGCAATAAAGAGTTAAACGTAAAAGTCCTGAATCCAAATTTCTGCTGTCCTTCTTGGGATTGGGGGGGGGGGGGGGGGGGGGGGGCGAGAGCAGAAAGAGGATGTCAAAATAGGGGAATAGGAAGGGCTCCGTTTGTTTTGTTTCCTGGGGTGGGCGGGGGGGGCCTTCCTGAGGGCTCTACCAGGAAGTCATCGTTTGTGCCTGAGTAACTGAGATGTGGATCGGTGGCCCGGCCACGTCACTGCAGTCAGGGAGGAGGATGCAGCCTACCTGGGAGACTGCTCAGTGCCTGGGTAGGACCACAGCTGGGGGGCAGGAGAAGGAGCTGGGGATACTGGGCGGCTCACTTACCTAGCACGCACCTGCTTCCAAGCAAAATTTCCATTGCTATAGCTGTCCTAGGGTTCTCTCACAGGATGAGCGGTGGAACACTAGTGCTCAAAATCGGTTTGGATCGGGCTATTTCGTCCATGCACTGTCAGAAGCAACTTGAGGCCCTTGGCTGGGGTATGAGACGAACCCAACTGTCTTCCTAGCAAAGCGTCACACCCCTGCCTGTTCCTATGGCTCAACTCCATGCGTCAGGGGCAGTCGCAAAGCTCCGGCTTTCAACCCGAGCTCTGCCACTTACACCTGAGCAACCTTGGCACGCTACTTAATTTTCTGGCCTCAGTTTCCTCAGCTGTAAGATGGGAATAAGAGCATCTTCTTGGAAATAATTGCAAGACCTGAGGTATGTGTGTCTCAAACATGGCCAGCTATTACAAAAATGAGAAACATGCTTACCACTCCTTCCTGCTTATGAGCCGAGCTTAACCATAGCACCTAACATGTATACGCCCATCCAATTGCCAGAGGGTTACATGTCTTTATATCATATTACGTTAAGTCCGGGTAGTTATGCCTTTACTGAACTATAATTTATGTTCTCGGACCTTTGTTTCTAGGAGTAGCTTTTTAAAATGTGTTCATCTCATACATTTCATAGACATTCTCCTTATGGCTTCATACACCAACCATGTGCGGTTGGCACCTAAAAATCACTTAAATGTTGACCCAGATCTCTCTGCCCAGCTGCAGATCTGGGTACCCCATAGCCCATAGACATCCACATTTCTGATACATTCAGGCAACTCAAATTCACGTATTCCGAGCCAATCATCTCCATCTTCTTCCAGCCTCCACAAATCTGTTTCTCTTCCTTTCCTTATACCTCTAGAGAAGTCGGACAGGATAATGGCTAAAAATGTGAGCTCAGGAACTAGTCAGCTTTACTTCGATTCAAACCCCACCTATTGTCAGGCACAGGCTACTGAATCTGGGACAAATTATTTAACCTCCCTGGGCCCCAGTTTCCTTTACTGTACAATAGAGAAAGAACAGTACAATAGGATGTTCTAAGAATGAATGTTAGTACGTGTTATACACTTAGGAGCCAGGCACATACCACCAGGTCAGTTGAATGTTAATTATCTTTACTATTAACTCACTTCACAGGATATAATGAAAGATGGCGAGCCGTGTATTTCTTTCTCATCTTTGTATGATCAGTATTGGTACAGTGCCTTGCACATACTGGATGCTCAATACTTTCTTTTTTTTTAACTGAGAAAACTTCGGCAGCTTATTGTAAAACTACTAAGAGACTGTCAATTATTTTGTTGGGTGAGCAACCATAGAGATAGAAAGAAGCACTTAGAAAAAAACTGCTCCTCCTGATGCCTTGGCACGCTTCCTTCCACCCGACAATGAGTGATGCATAACTCATCGCACTTCCCTTTCTGAAAACTTCGAGAAACCACAGAATTAAATTTGAGACTCATTGTAGTGACTCAAGTTAGCCTAGATTTTCTGGTCCCTCTCATTCCCCCAGTTACTTTGAAGGGCTCCCCCCCCCCCCCCCCCCGCCCTTTCATATTGTAATGCTTTTATTGGAAGCTGGCTAAAATAATTTTTAGATGTATTCATAAAAACAATCTATCTATCTATCTAATGAGTTCTTTTATAGGCCGGGCTTTGTGCTAAGGACAATAACAAATGGATGGACAATGGGAAGAGTGCATGCTGGGAGATGAAGGAAATGAGACGAAGAAACAGATGGGATGCAATGTGGGGAGGTTCGGAGGACAGGAGAGAGGGCAGGCTCAGAGGGAAAGAAAGAAGCAAGAACAACCGGACTGATAATGCTCAATGGCAAGTTTCAGTGATGCTAATAATGGCTCATTAAGATGTTTGCCAAGGCAGCTAGTGAGGAACTGTGACACTCTTTGTGAAAAAGCCTCTTCTGCAGATCCAGCCCAGTTGAGCCAACCAGCAAAATCACCAACGGTCCCGTTAGGACTAAAATAACACCTGTGTGGAATTTTGAAGCAATGAGCAAGAAAAAAGAATGCCATCTTATCCATCAAACTATTACCAAATCTCCCAAATAATTTGAGATGGCTTGGAATAAAAGGTAATAAAAGTGTAACTCACAATGATATACTTTACTTAGACATCTATGCCCTTCAGTCATTCAATTGCTTAGAAAGTCTACCTATAAGTTATAGTGTGTACAGTTATTCTCAAGCTTGTCCTTTCTAGTAACTAAAGAGCTACAATAGGTGTTTTTTCTTACAGAATTATCTGGTCATTATACCATGGAGAAGGGCCCTAGAGGATTTTTTCAACAAGGCTCCCTTCAGTTTTTTCTTACTGGAGTGCAAATATAGAGAGCTGAAAGAGGGAGAAGCCCTGCAGAATTGATGGAGTGATTATAAGTGTACAGAATGTCATGTTCTTTATTCGAAGAAGTTCCCCTAAGGTCATTGTTAACATACATTTACTCTTATTTTACACAAAATTCTAATACCCTGTAATGGAAGCAATAGGAGTCAAGAATTGCCAACTAGGAAAGATAACATAATAAGAAAATACTACATAACATTCCTATGAAAAGCAGACAGAAAAGCTCAGAAATCACAACCAGGTGGGGTCATTCAGTGAATGGAATCCAGGCTCATTTGCATCAATGCCCCAGGGAATAGCACTCAATTATTTTCAGCAAAATGTTAGATATTAGACCCCCCCCCCCCAAAAAAAAAAAAAAGACTAATATGCCACAAAGGAGCTTTTTACTCAGAGGAATGAACTCTTTTGCTCTTCTGTAGAACTGGTATGCCGGGAAGAAGGGCTGTGAGTCCTTCTCTGTGAAAAAACTGGGCCACATGGAGGATTTTGCAAAGGATGTTCACACATTTGACTGTCAAGGGCCAGATTCGATGAAATCTAGGTAGAATTCTGAAGTGAAAGCCCAGTTATAATTTTAAAGAAAACCACGAGTTTCACCCCTTAATTATTTAGCTTGTTGTGTTAGCTACAGATCAGCATAGACATTCTCAAGATAAGTTACTAGTCCAGCTGACAGTCAAACCCAACGGGCCTGACTAATTTATTTTGACCACAAACGCCCTATCATCTAGGTCTCCGGTTTAAAAAGAATAATTACTGTGCTCACTTCGACAGCACATGTACTAAAACTGGAATGATACAGAGAAGATTCGCACGGCCCCTAAGCGAGGATGACACGCAAATGTGTGAAGCGTTTCATATTAAAAAAAAAAAAAAAGAATAATTACTTCAAATAATTACTGAATGGCAACAAGAGCTAACAGCCATTCCTTTTTTTTTTTTTAATCCAACCAGAAACACAAAAAATTATAGTTAATCTCAGCAGATGAACCAAGCAACAAAACTGCAAAGAGCAGGTGAAAAGGTGTTTGAAGGAAAGAAAGCTGAGCAATCTCAGGTGTATTTATCAGGCATTAACTCCGCACCAAATATCTTATTCGCCATCATGAACTTAACTTTCATAGACCTGCAACACTACACGATTTCAAAGCATCGCTCCCATTCAGAGTCCATTAAGCTTCTGATAGTCTCTGGAGCACATCTGGAAAAAACAACCCCAGCCCACAACTAGGGGAAAACCGCCTCTTCTCAGGTCCCTGAAGGTGGGGACGACTATTGCCATGATGACGGGTTCCGCAGCCTCCGCTCTCCATATGCCGACTGTGCACAAGACACAGGTGCCCACGTGGGCCTTCACGGTGACACTTGGAGGCGTGCCGCCTCCACGGACGAAAACACAGGGATGTAAGAAACAAGTGGAGGCCCAAACAATTCCCCTAAACACTGTCTTTAAGCTGATACTGTAGTTAGTGGTCGGCTGAGCAAAGAGGAACACAATTAAGAACAATTAGCCATTCAGCTGCCCTACCAGAGGCAGTTTTCCTTGTGGCCTACATTTTAAACAAAAAAGCCCGGCTTCCAGGCAGAATCCTCAGCCATCCTGGAAGTGAAGGAAATGTAAAAGCTGCCTTCTGTTTCCTGACAGACTTCGATTCCAGACTGAGCTCCCACCCCGTGACACAGCCCACCCCCTCTCCTTCCTCCCTTCCTCCGGGACTCACAGCCCTCTTTGGCTCTAGCTCTTGGGCTTAGCTTTTTTTTTTTAGTAGAAAAAATAGATAAGCAAACTGTCTGAGAAAGACAAGTCTGACAGTATCAGGATGTCATGTTGGGAGGAAGGGCTGTAAGTCCTTCTCTATGAAAACACTGGCAACAGCAAAAAGGAAGGCTGGAAAGGAGGGTGAGAGGAGAGTGTACCTTCATAGGAAGACATAAGGGAAGAGAGAGAGAGAGAAAAAGAAAGTTTCGCTTTCTAGACGAAAAAGTGATTAGGAGGGAAAAGAACACACTCGTTGGGCTTGCGAGTTGCAGGGCCTTAACCGATCTTTTAAAAAATTCATTCTCTCTGCTTCACGGAAAGGAAATAAAAGTGTAAGAGCCATTAAGCTACCTTCCCAGGTCATGATGTCAGGCAGTTAACATAATTAGAGTTTCTCTGTGAGCACTCCAGGGAGAAAATGCTATCTCAACACTAAGAACAATTATTCTGCTGAGAAACAACATGTTTTTCACTTCACGGTGCTCTGAATAAAGGGTTCGGCGCTCAGGGCAGTATGGGGTGCATTTTTCTTCACTCGTTTCTAGCTCCCTCGTATGCCTTCTTTTTTCCTCCTTTGTTCTAGGTTTTCTTCCATTTAATCTTTGTTCTGTTGTACTTACAGATTCTTGCAAACTCCCTTATGCCCTTTCTGGAACAGAAAGAGATTATAAATACTCACACTCACAGCTGCCCTCCTGAGGAGCACACTTCTGCACACGCGTGCGTCCAGGTGTTCTCATTGGGAACCCCTGGAGGAGGGAGGGCACGTGTTATTGCTCTACTTTACACGGTCACCCCGAGAGTCGGAGATCCGTCTTGGGGACTGGCCCTCTCGTACTGATTCCCTGAGGATATACTTCCTCCTGACAATTAATTGAAAGCTCAGTTCATAAGATGTTTTACATTTTAAAAAGAATTGTAGCCGAAACTGGTTTGGCTCAGTGGATAGAGCGTCAGCCTGTGGACTCAAAGGTCCCAAGTTCGATTCCGGTCAAGGGCACGTACCTTGGTTGTGGGCACATCCCCAGGGGGGGGATGTGCAAGAGTCAACTGGTCGATGTTTCTCTCTCATCGACGTTTCTGGCTCTCTCTCTCTCTCTCCCTTCCTCTCTGTAAAAACTCAATAAAATAAAATAAAAAATTGTATTTTACTCAGATTAAATTGAGAAGCACATTCTTTCACATGAAAGACAAGCTGAGAAAAACACAATACATTTCTAAAAGAATTTTCACAAACAGAAGCAGAAAGTGCCAATGTGGCAAAATATATATATATATTGTTTCACTCTATTTCCATATGTTCACAAATAGCATAATAATTAACACCACCCTCTAGCTGTTCAACTGCCCAAGTCATCATTTCTATTTTGACAACATAACCCAGAAAGGGAAGAAAAGGAGGAATAGAGAAAGCAATCAAGTACTCTTTTCTACTCCATTTCTCATGAGGATGGGATGGAGGGTGTAAGAGGGTTCAAGCTTCAGGACACAAGAAACCAGGAAGTAAGAACACACTCTGGCTCAGCCGTAGCAGGTGACAGGTGAGGACAGCCAGACCCCTCTTAAAGCCTGGCAGGTTCCACCGCCAACTAGGGTGGCACCTGCTAGTCCCCATCTGCAAGGGCTCTTAAAGGGTCCTACATAATTTATGTGACTCGAAGAGAAGTGAAATGCGAACTGACTAAAATGTAAGCATTTAAATTTAGAAGCAGAGAAGGCACCGAGTGGGGCGTAGGCATCCAAACACTTGTTAAAAGACAGGCTCCCCCCCCCCCCCCCCCCCCCAGGCCCTGCAGCTTCCCCTCTTCCCTCTTGTGCATGGCCGCCGCGCCCTGGTTCCTTTAAGAAGTGGTCTTCCCAGGCCACTCGGCCAGCTTTCAATCCGCCGGGTGCACTCCTCTCAACAGGAAGCATTTGGTGTCCCCCTCTGGAAACGGTTACACGTTGCTTAGTGCACATGTGTGCTAATGTGCTCATGTGCAGAACACTTAACTTACTTTTTGGCTGACCTGGTAACCCCAGCTGCCAGCTGCTGTGTGGGAAGGTCATTGCATACATAGGCCAGGCTCACTGTGCCTAAGGATGCTTCCAGAAACAGTGTGCTGTTTTCACACACTGTAAACGGGCGCTTAACACTGGGCAAAGCAAAGTCTGCTGATGTGCGTGAAGAAAATATAGAAGAAGAAAGTGCTGTGGCTTTCCATTTAGAGTGCACTCACTTTATTGGTAATTAGAGGCCTGGTGCATGAAATCTGTTGCCAGGGGGTGGGGAGGTCCCCAAGCACAGCCTGCACCCTCTCCAATCCAGGACCCCTTGGGGGATGTCCGACTGCCTCTCGCAACCCAGGACCGCTGGCTCCTAACTGGGTTGCCTGCCTGCCAACCTAATCACCCCTAACTGCCTCTGCGTGCTGGCCTGATCGCCCCTAACTACTCCCAACTGCCGGACTTATCGCCCCCACCCCCCAATTGCTCCCCCTTCCCGGCCTAATCACCTCTAACCGCCTCTGCCTTGACCCCTGCCACCGTGGCTTGTCGGGAAGATGTCCGGTCTAATTAGCATATTACCCTTTTATTAGTATAGATTAGTGAGGGAGAAAGGTTTTAGGCAAGCTCCCTATACATCTCATTAAGAAGCTTCAAAAGGCTGTATGTGTTCTCATGCTAAAGGTCCCTATACACAGAGTAATCAAAATGTCAGGACTTTCCTGTCTTTTTTTTTTTTTAAGTATTATATGTGTACATATCTTTGTACACATATAATTGCCTCCCCCCCCCCCTTTCTTTTAAATTTATTTTTTACAGAGAGGAAGGGAGAGGGATAGAGAGTTAGAAACAACAATGAGAGAGAAATATCGGTCAGCGGCCTCCTGCACACTCCCCACTGGGGATGTGCCCGAAAACAAGGTACACGCCCTTGACTGGAATCGAACCTAGGACCTTTCAGGCGAAAGATTGACGCTCTATCCACTGAGCCAAACCTGTTAGGGCAGGACTTTCGTGTCTTAATCCTCAGTGAAATCAGTATTTGAAGAGCATAGCAAACTATGCAAATTCATCATCCCAGCTTTAATTAATCGTCCATATGGGGCACTGATGTCACGGACAAGTTTGATTTACAATATGTAATGCATAAAATAATGATAAATTTATTTTCAAGTGTGATAATACTAAAGTACCCACACTAAAAAGAAGTTCTTGGTGGTTTCTGGATTCCTTTATTTTAAGTGATAGATTATATGCAAATTATATGTAACAACTGAGAAACTGTCAACAAGATGAAAGGACTTTTAAAGATCCTCCTCCTTTCTTTGTTCTATATGATTCCGGATTTTGGGACGTTGTCATCAACATCACAGCTTTTCCCACTTTTATAAGAATTATTTAGCCTGATGGTTTATGATGAACTTTCTGACCAAGTAATCACTAACCATCAATGAGTATCATCCACTAAAGCCAATGCGAGACTCCCTGAGCCGAATCCAAGCACCTTCTCCCGCTCTCCTGGTTGTTTTTCCCTCCTCTGCCTCCATTTTGGCTCCTAGAATGTGGCTTGGCAAGAGCAGGCACTTAATTCAGAACTGACGGACTGGTTATAAGCACCACATCCCTTCATCTGCATGAAGATGCGTTTTCACTTGAAAGAGCACAGAGAAGGAAGAAAGATTTAAAATTAGCTAACTTGGATTTGAAATCTTAGGCAAGTTATAGCCACTTAACTTTAGCGACATCATCTGTATATGGGAATAATTATGATTAATTGTCTGTTTCAGTTTGACTAGGCCAGGGTACCCAAATATCTAGTCAAGCATTATTCTGGATGTTTTTGTGAGATATTCCTTGGATGAGATTAGCACTGAAATTAATGAACTCCGCATAAATCAGATTATATCCTCCATAGTGTGGGTGGGCCTCAAACAATCAGTTGAAGGCCTTAAAACAAATAAACAAACAAACAAAAACAAAAAAAAGACCAATATCCTTTGAACAAGGAGGAATTGTGTCATTTTGCACCCACCAAGCCTCCACAATCATGTGAGCCAATTCCTTAAATCAACTGATCTCTCTCTCTCTCCCTCCCTCCCTCCCTCCCTCCCTCCCTCCCT